GCCTCTCTTGCTCATCAGCGGCTGGTGGGTTTGAACAGCTCGCTGGCTCATGGTTAGCAGCCCTAGTGGCACTGTGGGCTCAGCAATGGGCCCATCATCTCAGGAAGGTCAAAGGTCTAGGGCTGATGGAGGAGATACAGACCTTTTGAATTAACCAGGCCCATAATAATCATCACTCTCACACCGGGCTTCGGCCCCACCTCTAGCAGCTGACAGTTTAGCCTTGGTTGCAGACATCTGTCATTAGCCAGGCAGGGGGCATATTGTACACCAGCATGTAACCCTTGCACTGCCGAGTGGAGGAGACTCCCAGGGAAATGACAGGTGCTGGGCTCATCGGATTCATCAGGACTCTCAGAAGCTAAGCCTGCATCCCAGCCCAGCCGCTCGCTAGCTGGGCTGCTCTGGGAAGGCTCCTGGACCCCTCTGGGCCTCTGTAGAGTGGGGGTGGGACATGAGTGCTTTGCTGCCTGCTCAGTCTGAGATGGATCACAGAGACCCAACACAGGTCAGGGCCTGGAATGTCGTCAGTGTAGCTGGGAGCCTTGGAGTCGGTTCTGGCCCATAAGGAACCCCTGGCAGAGCAGAGCGGCCCACAGGGCTCCCTAAGCTGTCATCCTTAAGGATGCAGATCACCTGGTCTTCCGTGGAGCTGCAGGGTAGCTTCCAACTGACGATGGTTTTTCCCAGCCAGGCGTTGAACCCCTGGGCCACCCTATGGGCCTTCACGTTAACAAGTTCTGTTGTAAATGAGCATTTGCAAATGGGATTTGGGGCAGAGACCCCGGGAAGGAATAGCGTTGCTAACACGCTGAATGAGGATTCCCCGGGGGATGGGAAGGAGTCCCTGAGTGGGGTAACAGTGAACATGAGGGTGTTAAACAGGAGGGGGAGCATTTGAGTCGGAGTGAAGGCACCTTGGGAAGAAACTCCTGGCGACCTACTGCCCAAAGTTGAGCCATCAAAAACTCCAAGGAGTCCAGTGTGACGAGCATGTGGGTCTCCAGGGTCCCAAAGGACTCCGCAGCGACTGGCCTGGTTTATTTTTCGTTTCTGTTTGCTGAGAAGGTGCCGCTGGGCAAAGACCTGAAGAGAGCCGAGGGAAGGAACACGGGAGGGGGGTGGGTGTCGGGAGCAGCTGCGCAGGCCAGCAAAGAGGACACGCAGCTGGGGTACGAGGAGCAAGGAGGTGGCTAGTGTGTGCAGCGGCGTGGGAGAGGTGGCCAGGAGAAGGGGCTGTGTTGGGAGACATGGCTTCAGGTCTATGGAACATTCTGAGCAGGGATCTGGCACAGGCTTTGAAGGATCTGTTTTCTTCTCCACAGGCTAGAAGGACAAAGCCCTCCAGACCACCCCACCCTCAAGCCCACCATCCCAAGAGTCCAGCAGGAAACTAGAGCCAGAAGAAATGGATGAGGGGCCCTGGAGGCAGGGCCTGCCCAGGGCACACCATGCTGCCCACACGACACTGTCGGCTTCCTTTTATTTTCAAAAAAGGGGCATTTTTCTTATTTATGTAGTTGATTCACCCTATCAACCCACTGTGTTTGATCAATACTAACCATGAAATTGATATTGACTCTTTTTGAAAAAAGGTATCCCTGCTTAGAAGTAATTACAATGAAGGGAACCAGCAGAGAGGTGTGTGTGTGTGTGTGTGTGTGTGTTCGGTGGCCTGTGGTCTGCGGGTGATCAAAGGTATGTGTCTATGCATGTTTGGTTCACAACCACCTGGGGAAATACCCCAACAGCTTCCTGTCTCATGCACAGAAAAGCCCCAGCTTTCTGACAATGGCCAAAAAGCCCTGGCCACCCTTGCATCCCCTTGTCCTGCTGGCCTCCACGTCCCAGTCCCTGGAACACACACACGTAGCACATTCCTGCTCCAGGGCCTTTGCACTGGCCAGTCGTCTCTGACCAAAACACATTCCCGAGAAGCCAACACGTCCCACTCTGGCTTCATTCAGCCTCTGCTCAGCTGTTCACTTCCCAGCCCACTCTCTGGAGTACAGCAGCCCCCCTACCCCATGACTGCGGAGCCACCTGCCCTGCTCTCGAGAACGGGGCTTTGGGTTTTGCCTCACCCCCACAGGACATAAGTGTCATGAGGGCAGGAACCCGGCTAGTGTCATTCGTTGCTGGGCTCTCACCTTTGACCCCTACCACCTAGACCAGTGGGGCAATACTTGCCCCTGAAGAGCACTGGAATGATATCCATGGGGCTGCAAAAGCGGGGGGCTGGCAGGAGGGGGGACACCACTTTACCCAGGATTATGGGCTATAGTACAAATGTTTTTAATTGTCAAGGAGTTACTGAGTCTTTTTTTTCCCCCTGAAAATAGGCCAGTAGGCCAAGCAACCTTAGAAACCTCTGATCTAGACCATGCCAGACCACCTAACAGGCTAGGTACGCATGGGCATACTTGTGCTTACTTACTAATCTGTTGTGAATCGTTTTACAGGTTTCAACCACACCCAAGATTCGGCCTCTAGGTCTATCTGGCCTCCATCTCTCTGTACCCCACACCCCTTCCTACAGAACCCAATTCTCTTACCTAACACGCCGTCCTCGACAGGGACAAAGTAGTCAGGCAGCAAGGTAACCGCAGGCTTCCCGGTGCTTACTTGCTAATCTAGAGTGAACAGGCTTCACCACAGACGCAGAATGTTGTTGTTACTAGGTGCCCTGGAATCAGTTCTGGCCCATAGCAACCCAGTGCGCAGCAGGAAGAAGCACTGCCTGGCCCTGCACCGTCCTCACCATTGCTCTTCGGTTTGAGCCCATCGCTGCAGCCACTGTGTCCACCCACCTCATCAAGGGTCTTCCTCTTTTTCAGCGCCCCTCCACTTTCCCAAACATTCCCAGGGACTGCTCTCTCCTGACAACAAGTCCAGAGGACATGAGACAGTCTCTCCATCCTTGCCTCCTAAGGAGCATGCTGGCCGCACTTCTTCCGAGACAGATCTGTTTGTTCCTGACAGTCTGTGGGACGTTCCGTTTTCTTTGCCAGCACCATCACTCAAATGGATCCAGTATCATACAGTAGGCACTCAGTAGGCACTTGTTGAATGGAAGAGTGGGTGGTTGCGGGAGAAACTCATGTCTGGCCCGTCCTGGCAGCCGTATGGCCCATGTGAATGGGGTCACGTTATACACACAGCGGTCTATGTGGATGTCTAATATGTGACGTGTGGGCATGTGGGTGGTGGGGGCGGGGAGAGTACAGAACTCACAGCAGGGACATGAACCAAGGGAGGTGGTAGCTTATAAACCTGAGGTGGCAGCTCCGGTCACTTTAGATACCTACTGCTCGTCTGCCATGAAGATGCCACACTGATGGTCGTCCACTGTTCTTTATGGAGCCCTCGTGGCTTAGTGGGTTGTATCCTGGGCTGCTAACCAGCAAGGTCGGCATTCCAAACCCACTAGCCACTCAGTGGGAGAAAGATGAGGCTGTCTACTCTGCTCCCATAGAGACTGACAGCCTGAGAAACCCAAAGGGGCAGCTCTATGCTGTCCTGCATGGTCACTGAGTCAGATTAGTCTCGATGGCAGTGAGTTTCAGGTTTTTACACACATGCATCAGAATTGCCTTCCTATTCCGGGCGGGGAACATGGGGAGCCAGGGTGGAAGTTTGCCCAGGCCTGAGCTTCCTCCCAGCTCCCCCATTTGGTAGTGTCCTAGGAACGTTGGGGCCCGGTACCTGTGAGTCAGTTCTCACAGCCAGGGCCCCTGTAGACACGCCCATAAGCTTCCCAGCTGTGGTCTTGACGGATCAGACTGCCATGCCTTTCTCCTGCAGAGCCACTGGGGGGCCTCAGACAGGTCTCCTTCGGGTTCACAGTCCAGTGCTTAAGCACTGCACCACCAGGGCTCCCCCTAGTAATCCCACGGAGGCAGCATGCCACTGCTGAGCCCCTCAGGGACACTTAAGCACCTCCAGCCTCAGGCTTCAGGGTGCTTGAAGATTGCGTCAGCCTTGACGGCTAGTTTATACTAAAGTCAGATGCTTAGACTTTATTGATTACACTGGATTGGATTACTCTTCCCCCTGGGCTCTAATGAAGTGAGCCCAGGCTTTAGCCTGGTGCTGGAGCCTGACCAGTGATGAATGAAATCACTCCCATCCCTGGTGCTCTAGTGGTTACACGTTGGTCACCGCGAGGTCAGCAATTCGAACCCCCTAGCCGATCCTCAGGAGAAAGACGAGGCTTTCTATTCCAGTAAAGAGTTACAGTCTAGGACACCCACAGGGGTAGTTCTTGTCCTACAGGATCACCAGGAGTGGGAATCTGTGCCGTGAGTTTGGTTTTGCTTTATGAAGCGTAACGAAGAGTCTTGGTGGCACTGTGGGTTAGGCGTTGGACAGCTAACCACAAGGTTGCAGGTTGCTCAGAAAGAGAAAGATGAGTCTTGCTCCCATGCAGATGTAAGCCTCGGAAATCCTGTACCAGAACAGTCGTAATCGGCCTCACTCGATTGCAGTAGGGTTGGTCTTTCTGGGTTTTTGAATAATAATGATGATGACGTTGATGATGGTGACGGATGCAAACCTCCCACCGGTGGTGAAGATGACGTAGGATGGGGTAATTTTCAGTTCCGCTGCGCACACACTGCCAGGACCTACAGCGGACTCCGCAACAACTGTTAATGATGGAGAGTAGATCCGGACAGCCGGGAAGGCGATACGAATAAAAAGCCACCACTAGCTGACTGGCCTGCAGCCCAAGTTCTGGAGCTCTCCTTCCCGGGTTCGAACCCCGACCTCACCACGTAGTGCGCGTCCCCCTGCCCGGCTGGCCGGGCCGCGCAGAGTCGCCGCCACAGGCGTTCCGGGAACCCACGTGGAAGCAGCGCCTCCTCTGGCGGCTCCCGCGCCTCCCAGGCGTCCCCCACTGCGCTTGCGCGCGTGCCCGCCAGGGGCTCTAGCACGCATGCGCGTCCCTGAGGAGGCGGGGCCACGGGGCGAAGCGCGCGCAGAGGGGTGGGGCCGCGCCTGCGGGTGCTACCTGCTATGGCGGCGCCCTGAGTTCCACCGGGAGAGGGTCGAGTGGGAGTCCCGGCTGAGCCCCGTTACGGGTAAGCCCCCCACGGAGGGCAGGAGGCCCGGTGTAGAGCGAGCCAGCGCCCGACGCTAGTGCTGGCTTTTCGGTTCCTGTCCCCACTCGCTGCCTCAGTTTCCCCTCTGAGCAAGTGTATTAGGGGAGGCGGCGTCGTGACCTGATCGGAGGGTCTGCCTGGGGGCCTACCGTCCCCCTCAGTTCCAGATTCGAAAAGGAAGGCGGTGCCCGAGTGTGCCTTTCCCCGGCCCCCGGGGCCTCGGTTCCTCCAGCAGCGCGCGCTCTCCTCCCTTACCCGGTGGTAAAGAGGGCGCCCAGTTCCTGGTCAGGGACGGGGCGGTGGGGGCAGGCGGGAGGGAGTATTTCATCCCCTGATCCCAGTAAACTGCTTGACGAAGGAGCCCTGACCGGGGAGCCAGAGGAGAGGAGAGGTAACCAGTTTCCCAAGCGGACCCCACAGCCGTGGGGGAGCAGAGGACACCTGCCAAGAGTGTCCCCCTGCCGGCAAGGAGAGGTGCCAGTCCATGCAGGGCCAGGCGCCCCTGTGGGAGGCTCTGAGTCAGCTGATCTAAATATAAAACTGACCCTGGCTTGCTTTAGAAAAAACTAAAACCTTCAAGGTCAGCATTACCACCAACCACTCCATGAGAGAAAGATGAGGCTTTTTCTCACTCCCACAGAGTTAAAGTCTGGGAAACCTCAGGACCATTCTACCCTCTCTACCCTAGGGTCCTTATGTGTCAGAATTACCTCGATGGCAGACAGTGAATTTGTTTTTCAGGTTATTTGGGGGTTTTTTTTGCAGGGGTGGGGTGGGGGTTGGTTATTTCAAAATAGTTGCTTCTTGTTTTGTGATTTTCATAATCAAATACTCATTTTACAAAGCTGGCAATAAAAACAAAGAGAGGGGAAGCCTTTTAGACTAGACAAGGGCCCTTTGGCCTTTTTT